CAGAGAAACATGTATACACCAGGATCCCGTATACACCAGGATCCGCTTTCCTGTGCAAGTTTCAGTGCAGGGCCAGAAAAAGCGTCGGTGTACACAGTTCGTTTCTCTAGATGCCTTCGGCGAGAATCGGTACCACTCGGCGGCGAGCGATGGGGGGGGAAAGTGAGGCGGAGGAAGCCTTCTGAAGGCGGCGGAGTTCCTCAGAAACACTCTTGGCCTTTGAGAAATTTTCAGCGCCTGCGGGGAAGGCTTAGAAGCCCTTTTCTCAGAAGGTGGGGGGACTTTCGAGCCTTCTGAGAAGGCCCGCCCCCTCCCATTTTTTCCCCCGAGCTTGCCGCCGACACTCGTAGTATGTATGTTTCTATTAGGGCCATCGTGGCGTCCCTCGGGTGGTCTTTAGGAGCCAGCAGACGGCCATTGGGTGTCTGTGGGCCACGAAGTGAGTGAGGGGTGTGCCGAATCCAGGCTTCCTTGAATCGTGGGGTCAGCTGGGGGTCCCTGGGAGTCCAGGAAGCACGACGTGCATGAGGGGTGTGCCGAATCGAGACTCCCTTCAGCCGTCTTCAGGGCCAGCGGACCGCCCCTGGAGGTCCATGGGGCACGAAATGCTTGACGGCTGTACCAAATTGGGGCCCCAGGCGGCCGTCTTTGGGGCCAACTTATCCCCCATGATGCACGAAGTGCGTGAGGGGTCTGCCTTATTGAGGCTCCCATGAGAATTGATATGCGAATCTCTCGTGGTTTACGTGTCTGAGAGCCCTTTTCGGCGCAGGACATGCGTGAGGGGTGTACCGAATTGAGGCCTTCATAGCCCTAGGGGCACATTCCACGAGTATTTCTACGTGTCCCAGGCGGTTGAAGGGAGTTTGCTTTCATCGAAGCATCATCGAGACATTTTCGAGACAACGTAGTAGGCCTGCAGAATGCGCGAGGCTGCTCTCAGCATGCATCGATATATGCGTCTCACTCTCCTCCATCTTCCTATTTTTTTATCATCTACACCCACGACGCTCAACGAGACAGTTTGTTTTTCATGTCAGCCCCTGCGGATTTCTTATGCTGCGGCCATGTTCAGCGCGCCAGGGACTGCCCCTTTCTTACGGGCCAAGTTTCTTAATTCGTAGGCGCCCTTCCAAAACCGCCGCGGAGGCTTTTTGATTCGGGGAGTCGCCCGGTTTGCTCCGAGCTTCGCAGCGCCACTCCCTTCTCAGAGCGCGCCAGGTGGGAGACCCAGGGCGCCAGGCGGCGGCGCCGACCGCTGGCCCGCGCTGGTTTTTGCTTCTTTGCGATTGCGATTGGCTGCGCCAGGGCGCGCCCCAGGACGCCAGGCGGCGGCGCCGACCTCTGGCCCGCGCTGGTTTTGGAGGAGGAGGAGGAGGAGGAGGAGGAGGAGGAGGAGGAGGAGGAGGAGGAGGAGGAGGAGGATGGCTGAGGTAGCCAGGCGGGGCCACGTCATGCAATGTTGGGCGTCGAATCGCAATTGGCCGTGTAGTTGGGTGCGTGATCATCATCATCAACACAGTCATCAACATCGCCACTCTCATCACTAACTTGTCATCGTCATCCGCATCATCATCGGCATCGTTATTCGCATAATCACCACCACCGTCATCACCATCATCATCATCACCACCATCATTATCATCACCATCGCCATCGCCATCATCATCGTCATCCGCATCATCACTATGAACATCATCATCACCATGCTCGTCATCGCTGTCGTCGGCATCATTGCTATCATCACCACCACCATCATCATCATCATCATCGTCATCATCATCATCATCACCATCACCATCATCATCATCATCATCATCAGCATCAGCATCATCATCATCATCATCATCATCATCATCATCATCATCATCATCATCATCATCATCATCATCATCATCATCATCATCATCATCATCATCGTCATCATCATCGTCATCATCATCATCAACAGGAGCCCTTGGAGGTTTCAACACGGCCAGGGCCTGCAAGGGGCTCGCCGAATGGAGCCCGCAGGGCGGGAATTACGGCGGACCCCCAGAGGGAATCACACACAGGTTTTTTGGAATCGGTGGGTGTCAGGGTTGCGGCTTCGACGAGGGTTGGCGCCATTTGTTGCAATTTTTCTGAGGGCCATCGTGGCGTCTCTCGGGGGGGCAGGCTGTCTTCGGAACGAAGGGCCTTCGGAGGGGTATGAACTACGAAGTGCGTGAGGGGTTTGCCGGATCGAAGCTCCCCTTAACCGTCTGAGGAGTCAGCTGAGTGCCCCGTTAGGAGTTCGTCGAGTCGAAGCTCACTTTAACCGTCCTGAGGGCCAGCGGATCGCCTCTGGAGGTCCGCGGGGCACGAACGGTGTGAGGGGTGTGCCACCCGAGCTCGCATGGTGCGCGAAATGCGTGAGGGATGTGCCGAACTAAGGCTTCTGGGAGAGTTGTTGCGCGAATCCCTCGTGTTCTACGTGTCTCAGATGCCTTGGTGAGGAGGAGGAGGAAGAAGAGGAGGATGAGGAGGAGGAGGAGGAGGAGGAGGATCTCTTTCTGAGCTCTCTCCCAAGGCGACGGGGGTCGCGAGCACGCCGCGGCCCCACGGCCGCGCCCTCGCCTGCGGGCACCGCGCCTCGCGCGGGCCTGTCCCACAGGCGTCCTTCTCGCCCAGAGGCTGTCACTGCCCCCACAGCGCCCTTCTCGCGCCTCTGCGCTTGGCTGGGCGCTCCCTTCCCTCACGAGCCCTGCGTTTAGCGCGGGCCGTGACGTACGGCCTGTGCAACACCCTCTGCTGCTGCTCTGCATCAGCCTCGCGTGTGGGCCTCGACTGGTACGGCAGCCACTTGCTGGCGATGACCCGCCGCGCTGCCCACATCTCCTGGCTGATCCCTCTCCCGCACTCATTCTCGCACGCGCTGCTCCCAGCGCTGTAGCTGACGACATTGGGCTCTAGCTTCGCCTGCCCCTTCTCGCATGTCCTGGTCCCAACGCTGTAGCTGATAGTGTCGGGCTCTATTTTCGCCTCCCACTTCTCGCACGCGCTGTTCCCAGGCTCGTCCTTCGCCTTCTGCTGCCACTGCCCGTCCTTCTCGCAGTGCTCGCCCTTCTCGCACGCACGGTGCCCGTCTTCGTGAGGCGTCCACTGCCCGTCCGCCGAAGGCTGCCACTGTCCGTCCACTTGAGGCTGCCAGTGCCCGTCGTCACCCTCTCGGTGCTGCCACTGCCCGTCCTTCTCGCACATCCTGATCCCAGCGCTGTAGCTGACGGCGTTGGGCTCACTCTGAACCTCCTGCTCGCCTGGCTCGCACGCCTTGATCCCAGCTTTGCAGCTCTGCCACTGCCCGTCCGCTTGCGGCTGCCACTGCCCGTCCGCATGATGCTGCCACTGCCCGTCCGCTTGAAGCTGCCACTGCCCGTCCGCTTGAGACTGCCACTGCCCGTCCGCTTGCGGCTGCCACTGCCCGTCCGCATGATGCTGCCACTGCCCGTCCTTCTCGCACGTGCAGCCGTCTCCTTCTCGATGCTGCCACTGCCCGTCCGCTTGCGGCTGCTATTGCTCGTCCGCCTGAGGTTGCCACTGCCCGTCCCTCTCGCCCGTGCAGTCGCCTCCCTCTCGATGCTGCCACTGCCCATCTCTCTCGCATACCCTGATCCCAGCGCTGTAGCTGATGGTGTCGGGCTCTAACGTCGCCTCCCACTTCTCGCATACGCTGTTCCCAGTAGCGTGGCTAGAGTAGTTGGGCTCCCAGCTTTGCCTCCTGCCCGCTCTTCTCACACGAGCTCCCCGCACGGCCCTGTCACTGCCCGCCAGATTCGTCCTGATCCCAGCGCTGTAGCTGATGACGTAGGGCTGGCCCTTCGTCTGGCTCGAAGTGTGCTCGCTCCCGTCGTCTATGCGCCCTCTGCTGGGCCCACAGGATGGCCTGGGCTCGTTCTTCGCCTCTCGCTTCTCGCACGTCAAGTTCCCAGTGCTGTAGCTGATAACGTCTGGCTCTCTCCTAGCCTCCCGCTTATCGCACGCGCTGCCCCCGTGTCGTGACAAGCGACGACGTCTGGCTCCAGCTTCCCTTCCACTTCTTCGCACGCCCCAATACCAGCGCTGCAGCTGATGGCGTCTGGCTCCGTCCTTTCCTCTCGCTTCTCGCACGTCTTCATCCCCGTGCTGTAGCTGGCGATGTCTGGCTCCAGCTTCGCTTCTCCTTTCTCGCACGCCCTGATTTCAGCTCTGTAGCTGATGGCGTCCGCCTGCGCCTCCGCCAGAGCAGCCTCCTCGCCCTTCGGCTCTTGCAGCCACGTCACGATCGGCTCCCAGCCACCGTCGCTGGCGCCGAACGGCGTGCCAAGCCAGCCGAAGTCGACTGCTACTTGCCAGCATGTCGCCAGGCGCAGTCTCCGCGCCGCGCGCCTCTGGCTCCTGCTCGGGCGCCACACCACTCCTGGGGGCGCACACAGCATGGCCGGCACTCGCGCGAGGCTGTCACCGCGTCGCGCCTCCGCCTGGCGCTGGGGGCATCCCCGATGGCACGGGCCGCCGCGCCGCCGCGGGCAAACCGGCTGCGGGCCCGCCGGGGAGCCACCTGGAGGAGGAGGAGGAGGAGGAGGAGGAGGAGGAGGAGGAGGAGGAGGAGGAGGAGGAGGAGGAGGAGGAGAAGGTAGTGCGTGAGGGGTGCGCCGCAACGAGGCTTTCGCAGCCCCGAGGGCGCACCTCGCTCGTGCCCGCGCGTGTTCCAAGAGACCTGGCCGTGACGCTCGTGGGCCCTGCGCGGGGAGCGCGTGCACTTAATCGTTCGATGCGTTCCCAGGGAACTTGCGGACAAGAAGGCCCGCGGGACGGGCGAAACCCTTCGTAGCATGCCTGATGCATGCGTCTCACTCTCGTCTGCAGTGGAGACTCATGCCACGAAGCACCCTGCTTGCCTCCGGGGTGCCTCGGGTTTCTCGGGTCTCGATGGTGTGGCTGTGGAGGGCGTGACGTTCTCACACCAATCATCAGTGGACGTCCTCGGGTCTCAGGGTTGGGTTTCTCGTGGAAGGTTTCTTGTGGACTCGCCTCCACTGTGTCCTCCTCCATCTCATTATCTTGTCACGAAGGCTTCCGTAACCATTCTGGCTCAAGCCATTCTGGCTCGAGCCTCGCTGAGGTCGTTGGCTCGAGCTCTCTGCTGGTCGCGCGCGCGTTTGGACCTGGCCCAGAGATCGACGGCGCCCGGGTGTTACAGTTGAATTCCCATGGTCCCACGCGCGCGTTTCTTCGGTCTCGTGGTGATCCAGAGCTCCTGCTGGTTATGCGAGGCGGGCGTCACCTGTGACGCGAGCTGGTGCAGCGACTTCCTCACGGACTGCTGGGCTGGAGCGGAGACGCAGCCGTGTTCTTGCGAGAGGGGCACCGCGCGCGTCCTCGACAGGCCCCCACCGTTGGCAGGGTATTCGCAGCGGCTTCACCGCTATACGTGTTGCGTGGAGCATGGCTCCGACAACGTGAGTCTTCTGGGGGCTGGAGTTCCCCATCCTGCGCGCTTCACGTTCCACAGAGACTTTTGTGGAAACTACGACTCCGCGTACATGAGGGGTTCTTGTGTCTTCGCTGTGCTCTTGTGCGCTGTTGGGGCGGTGTTTGTTGCTGGAGGGCGACGCCAATTTTTAGCTAGCAAGAGGTCGATCGAGATCGAAGGGGAGGATGACAACTTCGAAAACTCCATTACCCTATCTGATGGCAGCCAACTCCATCACAGCATTCCTCCGCAGAATTGGTGCGTGAAGCGAGAGGATTTACAACAATTCCGAAGATTAGTGCGGCGAGCAGTTCTGGACGGGCGCATACAGCCCACCCAGCGAGACCCTTTCGATCCGGCAGAAAATGAGATAGGGCCGAGCGTTCACACAGTCTGCGAGCAATATGTAGTCCCCACGACTTCCCGCGCCGGGAACATGAGCTGGGCGCTTATGCTTCATCCCGAAGGCCTTCAATGCGACCTTTTCATATCGCACAGCTGGGAAGAAGGTGTTTATGAACTTTTGGATAAGATTATTTACTCGTGGCCTGCTGGCAAACAGCATGCGTACGTGTGCTTCCTGTCCAATCCCCAAAATCTGGGAATCGCGGATCTACTATCAAGGCCAAGCGATTCTCCTTTTGCCCATGCGTTACGTTCGGCAAAGGACATTATGGTCGTGTCCAATCGGAAAGGGAGCGTCTACAGCAGGATCTGGTGCACTTACGAGGCCTACGTGGCGTACAATTTTGACAAGAAGATCTTCTGCGCGTCACGCCCTGTGCCTGGTTTATGGCCTCGCGAAATATTCCAGTCGGGTGTGTGCATCGTCGGGGTCAGCATCGGTGCCACTTTCTGGCTTATCATCGTGTTTCTGGGCCTCGATCACCTTGGGTATTATTTTCAATGCCTTCTAATTGCCTTGGCGATTGGCACTACAGTTGCATACACCGTCCAGCGGAAAAGGCCAGCAAGCCTTGCCTGCCGCCGTTGTTGCGCAGTGGCGGCATTTTTCGCTAACGCCTGCCTGGCGTTTACATGGCAAATGGACATCACCTTTCCCATGAATTGGGTGGGCATTTTGATTACCATAATCTATGGCATGTGTCTGGAAGCCGACCGTTTATGGGCCGTCGAAGCCGCTCAAGAGAAGGTGAACCTGAGCTCAGGCTACACGGGCCACGTTCGAGACGCACGATGCTCCGTGCCAGAGGACGGCGAGCAGATTCGTAGCGAACTGCACGGGCAGGAGTCTGCTGTAGACCATTGCGTGGAAGTTCTGATTCACACAGGGCTGTCCACAAGGCATGATGGGGCAAATTTCCACCACCACTACCATATGTAGGACGGGGGAGAAGGGAGGATGAGGAGGTCCTCCTCCTCCTCCTCCTCCTCTTCCTCCTCCTGTTCCTCCCCTTCCTCCTCCCTCTCCTACATATGGCAGTGGAGGCGGAAAATTGGCCCATCAAGGCACCTGCGCGACGCAGCGGAGCGAGCTGGCAGACTCGGCAACGTCAGCAACTGGTACACCGCCTCGGTCGTCGCGCAGGCGGGTGGGATTTGGGTTTGGCTTCCTGCTCATTCGGTTTGGTGGGGTGACTCGTGCACTTTCGACCATGGGGCCACAGCTTACTTATGCGTCCTGGAAGGAGTTACTTGGTTTGTTTTGTTCGGTTGCTCGGTGGGCGTAGACCGCAGAGCATTTGCAGCGAAGTCGCTTCTGACCATGATGATCTGTCTGGCGGCTCACATGTACTCAGCCTGCGCGATGATGATTACCTGTTCTCTGTTCGCAGGTCCGTTCGTGCTGACCCTCAGCTTTGCAGGGCCTGCCAACGTCGCTCGCGTACCTCTGGCAGGCCGCATGATGGTGCGCTTCTTTCTGGGCGACTGGGATGCCTGCAGCCCTTGTGCACGCGGTGCCCAAACGTGTTCGGTCGAGCTGCAACGAAGAGTCTGCAGTGAGCGAGCAGACGATGACCCCGCAGACGTGTATGGACGCAGAGAGGACGAAGCAATGTGTATCTGATCCACGGGGGACTGAGTGTGCACTGGCCGCCTCTTCCGACCACGCTGCCACGGCTTCAAACATATCATGTTCCACCAGACCCGGTTGAGCTGGGGACTTAGTCTGCATGTGCAGCTCCGGATCAAAATCCGAAATCTTCTGCAGGCGCCCATTTGTTTAGCTCGAAAGCTCTTCACTGACGGCGAAATCATTGAATTTGAGGTCCTGCCAGTGCGACCAGGAGGGGTTTCTGCACGTGCTCCGCCAGCTGGCGTGACAGCTCGTGCATTCAACATCCAGGCTGTGTTCCCTCCTTCCTCCGTCTTTCCGCGATCTTCTTGCAAGTGCTCCGCCACCCGCCGTGACATCGCGTGCATTATTTCTGGCAGAAGGCAGTTGCCTTGCCTCCTTTTGCAATCTTCGTTCCTTCTGCACGTGCTCCGCCGGTTGGCGTGGCAGCGCCTGCATGGTATATTGTGAAGGACTCACGGCTGCCCGACCCAGAACGACGGCCACGACGACGACGACGACCACGACGACGACCACGACGACCACGACAACGACGAGCTGATGACCCTGCCACAGGCTCGGGACATGGGGCGGGCGGTGGAGGGAAGAGGAGAAGAAGGAGGAGGAGGATTAGGAGGAGGAGGAGGCGGAGGAGAAGGAGGAGGAGGAGGAGCAGGAGAAGCAGGAAGAGGAGGATGAGGAGGAGGAGGCGGAGGAGGAGGAGGAGGAGGAGGAGGAGGAGGAGGAGGAGGGGGGAGGGAGAGGGGGAGGTGGAGGGGCAGGAGGAGGAGGAGGAGGAGGAGGAGGAGGAGGAGGAGGAGTAGAAGGAGGAGCAGGAGGAGGAAATATAATAAGACTCGGAATGCTAATCATCATACTAATAATATCAGTAATGTTCATACTATTAATACGATTACGAAGAATATTACTAACAATATCATTACTAAGACTATTCGGAGTCATCTCAATAGTAAGACGACGAATAACATAGTACTAATACGTATAACACGAATACTAATAATACGACCAACCATAATAAACTTACCACTTCGAATGAGAAGAATGCATATACGACGAATACGACTAACAATGCTACGAACATTGTTTATATTAGTAGTACTGCGGAGACTAGTGACACTACGAAGTATATTACTATTATATTCATGAGAAGAATAAGACGAACAGGAATAAGAGGAGGAGGAGGCAGAGGAGGCGGAGGAGGACGAGGAGGAGGAGGAGGAGGAGGTAAACGAGGACGAGGAGGAGGAGGACGAGAAGGAGGAGGAGGAGGAGGAGGAGAAGAAAGAGGAGGAAGAGAAAGAAGAGGGAGGAGGAGTGGAGGAGAAAGAGAAAAGAGGAGGAGGAGGAGGAGGAGGAGGAGGAAGGCGGAGGAGGAGGAGGAGGAGGAGGAGGAGGAGGAGGGGAGGAGGAGGAGGAGGAGGAGGAGGAGGAGGAGGAGGAGGAGGATGAGGAGGAGGAGGATGAGGAGGGAGGAGGAGGAGGAGGAGGAGGAGGAGGATCAGGAAGAAGAAGAAGAAGACGAAGAAGAATAATAAAATAATAATTAATAATAATAAGAAAGCAGAAGAAGAATAATAAGAATATCATAATAAAAGAATAATAATAAGAAGAAATAAGAAGAAGAAGAAGAAGAAGAATAATAAAATAATAATAAAGAAGAATAAGAATAATAAGACAAGAGAGGAGATGGATGATGATGATGAGGAGGAGGAGGAGGAGGAGGAGGAGGAGCGGAGGAGGAGGAAGGAGCAGGAGGAGGAGCAGGAGGAGGAGGAGGAGAGGAGAGGAGGAGGAGGAGGAGGAGGAGGAGAGGAGAGGAGGAGGGAGGAGGAGTAGGAGGAGGAGGAGGAGGAGGAGGACCAGGACCCTGACCAGAACCTGGAGCAGAAGGAGGAGGAGGGGAGGAGGAGGAGGAGGAGGGAGAGGAGGGGGAGGAGGAGGAAGGAGGAGGAGGAGGAGGAGAGGAGGAGGAGGATAGCCGTCTGTCTCTTCGGGGGCGGGACAGGGCTGGGGCTGGGTCCGGGGCCAGAGGAGCCGGGGCCCCGGTCTGGGTCGGGGCCGAGGCCAGGGCCGGGGCTGGGGCCCGGCCCGGGGCCGGGGCTGGGGCCGGAGCCGGGGCTGGGGGCCTGTGCCCAGGCCTGGGCCAGGCACCGGGGCCAGGGCTGGGTCTGAGGCCGGGGCCGGGGCCGGGGCTGAGGCCGGGAACGGGGGCCGAGTTTTTGTCGGCATGCTGGAGACCACCCGCCAGCTGTCCTCGTTCTCCACAGGGAGACCGCCCAGCCTCCGGGATCCCCCCCAGGACCCCCCCCGGGACCCCCCCCCCAAGCGGGAAGGGATCAAAGGGAAGGGGTTCCCTTTCCACGTTGTTCGATGTTGTAGGGGTTGGACTGTTGGTCAGGAGCTCCAGGTCCCCTCTCCCTCCTGGTGTTGGTCAGGAGCCCCCAGGAAGGAGGAGGATAGCGACGACGACGACGACGACGACAGCGGCGGCGACGACGACGACGACGACGACGACGGCGACGACGACGACGACGAATGGAAGAGCGTCTCACACACGCCGACAGGGTCGGCGGATTTCAAGGCAGTTGTTGTCCCGTCCTCCGTTATTGCTCGCCCCTCGCGCACGAGCTCGGCCAGACAGGTCAAGAAAGTGTGACGACATGCAAAGACCATCGCTCAGGGTTGTTGGTATTGCGGCTTATCAGAGCTAGGCTTCGGTATGGGGTAGCAAAATCGTTCGCCAAACCGAACGTAAGTGCAGAGTTTTAAGCGTTTGCGTTTCAAGTTTTATTCCCAGTCTGAGAGTCTTCGGTTCCGACTCTGGACCTGGTGACGGCATCGCAGCGGTTAGCTGCCCACGCTGAAGACTTTGCCCACGCGAGATCAGACGCTCGGCGTGCGCAGTAAGCCGCGTTTATTTGCGGCAGACATCTCGACCAGCCGGCCTTTGCGATGTCCGCTTGGGTTTAGCGGGCAAGAGAAAATGGCCCACGAGGCGCCCAAGACGGTCCAGGACGGACCCAAGAGGGTGAGGGGAGAGCTCCCGGGTAGGACAGGTTGGAGGCAGAGGAAGGAGGAAGACTCGCGAGAGGGCATGCTTTACGCATGCTTCTCCCTCGCCTCCGTCCTCCTCCATCTCATTCTGTATCATCGACGGCTAACACGGCGAGGGCCTGCAGGGGGCCTGCCGTATTCAAGCGCTTCGCTCATTCCGTCGGTCCATATTGCATTTTTATCATCATTTGCACGTATCCTTTGCGGGGATCTGGAAGTTGTTGGGTTGTCGTCGTTTCCCCCAATTGTAGTGTGAAGCTCACGTTGGTGGAAGCAGTCGCTTGGTAGATGGAGGGCGACGTTCAGGCCTTCTGTCCTGCACGCCACCGTGTCCGGGTTGTGGGTCTGAGGCCTTCGGGATGCATGTGAGGGCGTCTTGGGATGCTTTTGGCTTGTCTTCTTGGGCCCTCTTGGGGTCTCTTGGGGGCTTGCTTGCGTCCCAGGGGTCGTCTCGGGGCGGAGGTCTGGAAGTGCATGTTAGTTTTCCCCTTGCTGGGCCCCTTCCTGGAGCCCACTTGGGCCGTCTTGGGAGGCTCTCGGGCCGTCTGGGCGCCCTCTCGGAGGCCTTTTGGGCTGTCTTGGGGCGATCTTGCGGGCCTCTCGAGCTGTCTTGGAGCGTTCGAATCCCGAAGGGGGGAACGCTGAAATCTGGCAAAACACACAGGAACATGCATCAGTGTTGCGTCTCGGGGCTCCGGGCGCTCTTCGGCCATCTCGGATCCTCATGGGCTCTCTCGGAGCTCCCTCCAGGCACTCCCGAGGCGCTCTTGGTGGCCACCCGGGATGTCTAACATCCTGCGGCGGACCTTGCCGGGGCCTTGCCAGGGCCTTGCTGGGGTATTTCTGCTCCATGTGCCCCCAGGAGCCGCCACGCGCGGGCGAAGCGAAGCCATAATATACGACTTTGGCGCATTGGGCCAGCGAATTCGGTTGTCTTCCTTGTGGTCCTCACATTACTTCTCTTCGTCCTCGTCATGCTTCCCTTCCGTGTCCCCAGTTGTCATCATGTCGCTCTGGCTCGAGACCCTTCAAGCTCAGCTAGAGGTGCTAGGTACACCTGCACGCGAATTAAACCCTGATGGATCTCGGATGCAAGGCAAGTGGCAGGAACCGCGACAAGGAGGTTCTTTTCTCCATGTGACAGTCAAGAAGTGCGGGAGCGCGAAGCAATGGAGCGCAGCGGTGAACTTGTTGCGCGACGCGTCTGGGTCACGTGTCAGAGTCGGCGCAAGTCTCTACGGTGTCGCCGCCAGCACATGCGCGAAAGTCAGTCAGTGGCAGCAGGCAGTGTCAATACTCAGCGAGTTGTGGGAATTACAGCCGGATGAGCCCAGTGTGGTCAGTTGTTGCGTCGGGATCACCGCGTGTGAGAAAGGCGGACAGTGGCAGGAGGCTCTGTCGTTACTCCGCGACATGGTTGTTGCGAAGTTGGAACCGAGCATCATCGCACTCTACAACGCGTCGGCGTCATCTTATTCCTCCTCACCCTGCTGGTCTGCTTGAGTTATCTGACTCTGTCTTCCCCTCCTCCTGCCCTTCCGACAGCGGCCCGCTCGCCCGTTCTGCCCAGGACCGTGCGAATCTGCTATCGTGGGCCTATCGCCGATGGCGACGTCTCGATGATTCAAGCTCGATGTTCCCCCACCCTCCCCTGCGCTGGTCCCCCCTAACTCGAATAATAAAACACGGCATCAACATAGGTGCTCCCCCATGTCCGAGCGCTGTCTCACAATTTTGCTCCGCGGGGGGCTGGGGGGTATTTCGTGCCCCTGGGCAATTTAAGAATGGCCCGCGGCGAAAAGCGGATCCCAGTTCTGGGGAACGCGTCTCCCACGTTTGGGAGGCATGTCGACGTCGGATGTCTTGGTTCCACCATCCTACACGCGCGTTCTCCCCAAAAGCTTCGAAGCCGCAACCGCCCTGTACGAGCCAAGGGCAGTACTGTGGGCGTTATTATCTGGCATGCTGTTGGTGTGTCAGGATCTTCCAGGGCTTGCTATTGACCAGTTTAGGTGATGGTCGGCATGCGGAAGATCCTCTTCACACAGTTCATGTATTCCTGCACAGCATGTTTCTCATAGCGAAGTCCACGTGCTGGGGGTGCCAGAGGGCGCGGCAAAAGGGGAGCGTCAGCCGCCGCGCGGCGCGGGCCAGCGTGCAACTTTAGAAGCCAAACGCGGCGCACCCAACCTGTTATAGTTAGAGCTCGCTTCCGCAGTGCCCTCCTCCTCCTCCTCCTCCTCCTCCTCTTCCTCCCTCCTCGTCCCTCTCCCCCTCCTCCTCCTCCTCCTCCTCCTCCTCCTCCTCCTCCTCCTGCTCCTGCTCCTCCTCCCCCTCCTCCTCCTCGTCCTCCTCCTCGTCCTCCTCGTCCTTCTCCTCCTCCTCCGCCTCCTTCTCCTTCTCCTTCTCCTCCTCCTCCTCCTCCTCCTCCTTCTCCTCCTCCTCCTCCC